CCACTTTACTTACTTTCAAAATTTCTGTTGCTAAGTTACACCCTATCATCTTGCATTATTTTATACACTACTCATGAAATAAAATTAATCACAGAACGGGTGGGAGTTTGAACTCGTGACAAAGAGTCCCAAAACTCTCAAGCCAGTATTACTGAACCATACTGGCCTAATAGGATTAGTCAACGCAGATGCACGTTATATACCAAAGGTAAGTCAACATTTTTGCCACTGTGACCATGAATGTGGGTGTTGTCAAAGTGGGGTTTACGCTAACCTCCTTATGGTGTATAGAATTATAACTAGTTGCAAAATCTCATTACACTGGTAAAGTCCAGTGGATAACATACTGGTCTGTGAGCGTCTAGGACTTGCTTGCCATGGGTTTGATCCCCTACCCATTCTAAGATATATGTATGTATGGTTTCCCTATTCCAGTGAATGAATTTCTTTTGGGCCTGTCATAATCAGCTAAACTTACTTAATGCTGGCGAGGGGCTCTTGATTTAGGGAATTGGATCTGTGCTCCAGTTCCCTGAATGCCTTCCACACCCCCGCCCCCATCCCAGGCGCTGTATAATCCTCCGGGTTTAGCGTTTCCCCCTTGATTATAATAATAATAATAAACTTGCTTAAAACTCACCTTTTTTCTTGGGAAGCTAATAAATGAAAGCTTCTTCGACACCCTTCAGTTCTGATTTTGTCCAAGCTAGACTAGAGAGCAAATATTTTCCTCAGCTTTCCCAGTTGCTCTGCATTTAACATCATTCATCAAGAATTACGTTTATATCTAGGGGCTTATCTTTCCCTGTCACAAGCCTGTATACAAAGGCAGGCATTCCTTCTTTGCAGAAGCGACGCAATGCCAGTTGCCTTCATTTAATGTGTCTCCTTCCGTGGTCTACCTGGAGGTCGTTCCAAGGGTCAATGCCTTCACGATCTTCTTACAGAATAGTCACAGATGCTAGTAAGATTAAATCCTTTAACAGATTCTTATGGCGACAGTCTTTATCTGCACATTCCAACTAACATGTTTTAATATATTCCCTTTAATGTCCACCCAGCATCATGCTTTTCCCATCGTCTTGAGTAAACTACTCGAAAGACATGTCTACTACAAACTCCTCTTCCCTAACACTTTTGAATCACGTTCTCAAGCTACTGCAGTCTACACTGACGGTTCAAAATCCCATGATAGAAAAGGAGACTCGGCTTTTTTTTACTCCCCCAGATAGAGAAATGCAAGGACTTTACCAAATGTATACCCGGAGAGGGTTTCGGGGGTCAATACCCCTGCGGCCCGGTCCGTGATCAGCCCTCACGGTGCATCGGGAACTGATCAACCAGGCTGTTACTGTTGGCCGCACGCATTCTATGCAACCAGCTTTTTTCCCCCAGATAGAGAAATATAAGGACTACCATCTTCACAGAAATTTTATGCACTACTCCCGCTATCAAACATTGTAACCAGTCTATTTCGTTGTTTCAGACTCCGGAGGTGCGTACAAAATCTATAAATCTAACTCCTCACATTTCACTGTACTAGGATACAACAATAGTTACGATGCAGTTCTAGCATGTATTTTTTTTAGGGGGGGGGGGGAATGGGCCTCTGGACATGCCAATGTCCCAGGTAGCTCATGCGGTGTCACCCAATCGATCCGCTATTAACTACCAAGCAGCACTGTATGACCCTTGTTGGTTTAGCGCTTAAATTTGATTGTAATAATAACGACCCCTCAAGAGGGGAGGTTCCTTGATGCTGTTCAGGGGCTCTTGATGTAGGGAACCAGATCTGTGCTCAAATTCCCTGAATTAAGCCTGAGTGCCTTCCCTCCCCCACAGGCACTGTATAATACCTATGGGTTTAGCTCTCCCCATAATAATAATGAACTACCAATCTCTCACACTAAAGTCCCTTCCTCGGACTGTTTTCCAGCACTCCCCCAAAACTCTTTAAAATCGTTTGCACATTTACGTACCAGACATTCACGACTCTCAGATACCACATTAAGCAATGTCAAGAACCTTACTGCAAAAACTGCCAGGTTGAGAGCTATCAGTTCACCATATCTAAAGTTATTTATTAAAGCAGAGAACAAGAAGAATTTGCTTTCAACATCTACAGTGCCATGACGTGCTCACTTGACTGACTTCCTCGCTGAAAGTCCCACTTTCAGTGCAGATTCACCAACAGAAAAAAACTATGACATCGACTTCGACATTAATTTTATGCCTACACTAACCTCAATAGACCCCTGGCTGCCTTCAAGAGGGAGCTGGACAGCTACCTAAAGTTAATAACCGACCAGCCAGGCTGTGGTTCATACGTTGGACTACATGCGGCCAGCAGTAACAGCCTGGTTGATCAAGCCTTGATCCACCAGGCGGCCTGGTCAAGGACTGGGTCGCAGGGGCGTTGAACCCCGGAATACCCCTAGGGTAGACCCCAGGTAACCCCTATCTCTTGCACATCTAGGCAGACGATGTCACTGCCCACCAAACTTATTAAAATCTTAAAAACAAAAAAAATTGACAGTATCAGATTAGGAAACCTCTGGTCCCTCTATACGAGTGGTCTTGGACCCTCCTGCCTGGGCGCAGGTGTGGTCTAGGACCTCCCTCCCTGGCCCCCGTTCGGGAAAATTCGAGCGCCCCAGTCAAACCGCCCCGTAGTAATTCTTAATTCTTTCGATGCCTTAAGCACTCTCGAGAACGATAATCTCGATGTTGCTTCACATGTCTCTGACGATGATGATTTTGGGGATGAAGTGGGACAGACCTTCTCTGATGACAACCCTCCTCTTTGTTTGCACGTTACTTCCAATGCGACGATGGGTCCCTTGGTGCATCTGCTCTTCAAGCGCCCGTTCGTGTGTTCATGGACTCTGGTGCGCAAGTCAATATTATCAGGTCTAGTTTAAGGATAAGAGGTTAAAACATGTCTTTCTCGTCGAACCGACTCCTGTGTCTTCCCTTAGTGGAGTATCTGGTTCTCACCTGCGTGTCAGAGGTCAGACTCCCCTCACTTTCTCCATTCCAATGTTATCCATCCAGTCGAGCACATCCCATTACCATTTCTGTGATTAGTTCTAAGTTATATATGTGTTTGCTATTGTCTAGAATCAGCACAGAGCCACGTGCCTGTTCAGTCTGTAGAGTTGTATGTCGAGACGTCATACGTAATACGACCAAGCTGTCAATAGTGTTACTGAATTCCCTTGTGATATACTTCTGTAGCATGCCGCAGGTGTGTTACCATATAAACAAGCCCCTATCCAGCTAGGTTCAGTGGCTAGCATGCGAGAGGTCACGCAGTGACGCATGTGAGCGGTCGCCCCCAGGCCTCCCTTTCAGTTCCAGCATAGGCACAGGCAAGAACAGGTAGGCTGGGCTATACTCCCCTCACGACTGACAATATACATGTAATCGACCATCCACGTGTGTATCCTTTCACCACCTTATCTCCTAGGAACCCCTTACAATGCAGGTGTGGTCTAGGACCCCCCTCCATGGGCGCAGGTGTGGTCTAGGACCCCCTCCCTGGGGCGCAGGTGTGGTCTATTACCATCCTCCCTGGGCGTAGTTGTATAGGACCCTCCCTGGGCGCAGGTGTGGTCTAGGACCCCCCTCCCTGGGCGCAGGTGTGGTCTAGGACCCCCCTCCCTGGGCACAGGTGTGGTCTAGGACCCCCCTTCCTGGGCGCAGGTGTGGTCTAGTACCCCCTCCCTGGGAACAACTGTGGTCTAGGACCCCCTCCCTGAACGCAGGTGGTCTAGGACCCCCTCCCTGAACGCAGGTGGTCTAGGACCCCCTCCCTGAACGCAGGTGGTCTAGGACCCCCTCCCTGAACGCAGGTCTAGGACCCCCTCCCTGAACGCAGTTGGTCTAGGACCCCCCTCCCTGGGAGCAGGTGTGGTCTAGGACCCTCCTCCCTGGGCGCAGGTGTGGTCTAGGACCCCGCCCCCTTCCTTTGGCGCAGGGGTCACTACTAGAAACCTAATACAAGTAACCCTAACACCTTGAGAAACCCAGGATTGTAGATATCTGAAAAAACAGTCTGGAGTCACACATGACTATCTTGAGAAACTGGTGACATTCGGAGAAATGTTTGTTTTATTCGAGGAGACGCGCTAAACAAGTACGGGTCATACAAGTCCTGGATAATGGCAGAACGTAAGGTTTGGCCAGATGGAGGAGGAGTAGGGTAGCTTTTATATCCTTAGATTACAACTTAAAAAAAAAAAGTAAGCCCAGAACCCGTGTACATCATATAACGGAAGAAGGCTCTGTTCTCCGTCTAATTATATTGTAATCAAAGAAAGCGCTAAACCGACAAGGGTATACAGCTCCGTATAATTATAGCAAGACACCTACATATTCCTATCTGACACGATCCTCTCTTAGAGGAAGCATCCAGGCACACCTCCCTTATGTGATAAATAGTTTAAAACCGACAAGTTGAAGATTGAGACACTTATGCAACATATGGGAATTTATATTGAAGAAACGTTTCGCCACAGTGGCTTCATCAGTCCAATACAAATCAGAAGGGTGTACGGAGAGGAGGAGTTTGAGGTAATCAGTCCCTCAGCCTTGAGTCGATGTGTTGAACTGAACACATCGACTCAAGGCTGAGGGACTGATTACCTCAAACTACTACTCTCCTTACACCCTTCTGATTTGTATTGGACTGATGAAGCCACTGTGTGGCGAAACGTTTCAATATAAATTCCCATATGTTGCATAAGAGTCGATCTTCACACCTCCCCTAGATGAAGCATCCAGCCACACCTAGGTGAAGCATCCAGCCACACCTCCCCTAGATGAAGCATCCAGCCACACCTCCCCTAGATGAAGCATCCAGCCACACCTAGGTGAAGCATCCAGCCACACCTAGATGAAGCATCCAGCCACACCTAGATGAAGCATCCAGCCACACCTCCCCTAGATAAAGCATCCAGCCACACCACCTTGAAGGGACCGCGAACGCTTTATCTCACCTTGAACTCTGCTTCCAGTCGTTCTAGTTGCTTAGCACTGTACGCCTGGCGAGGTTTGCGGTCCACTCCTGGCTTTCTTGATCTCCGACCCGTAGGACGCGGCGCTGCAAAAGAAGAGGTCAAGTAAGGTCACTGGTCATACATGTGACTGGTCACTTTCCAGTGCAAATATCTGAAGCTTGGTCTGAGACCTGGCAAATTGAGGGGGGGCGGAGACCCCTAGGTTAGGCTACAGGTCAACAATAGCTACGATGAGAGTAAGACACATGTGCAACATCTGGGTATCTTTATTGTAGACGTTTCGCCATCCAGTGGCTTTATCAATACAAATTCTAGGACATAACTTGAAGACAGTAGAACTATGTACAGAAGATGAGGTAATCAGTCCCTCAACCTAGGAGTAGGTGCGAACAGCACCATAGTCGTGGAGATTCTGAAGCAGAAGAAAGAATCCTGGCGCTTATATAGTAACGTCAGGTGTAGCAGACGAGGGCATATTCACCGGTAGGCGGGATTCCCCAGTGGAAGTAGGTCCTTCCCAAAGAGATGGGTTAGTTGTAGTAGTAGTTATCGTAGTCGTGAAGGTTATGTCTACAATAAAGATACCCAGATGTTGCACATGTGTCTTACTCTCATCTTGTCGGTATTATATACCATTCGTACACAATAGCTACGATGCCCAAAGCTTCATTCTGTAAGGTTACCTAAAGCTTAATTGCTTTAAAGTGCCTGTGGTGTGACTTCGAAAAGTACCGAGTGTAGCAATAATAAAGATGAAATACAATGTAACAATAACACTGATGACAGTATAATGCAACGCTTTAATATATAATGAATACCTGGAGGGTGTACCCGGGGTCAACGTCCCCGCCGCCAGGCCCATTACCAGGCATTATAAATTATATGGACTCTCGCGTGGTTGTGATCGTCGATCAGTGGTCGTTGGTGGTCGTGGTCGCTGGTGGTCGTGAGAATTGGGGGGGGGGTTGAAGGAGGGGGGTCTCAGGGGTTTTGTACAGGTGACATTCAGCCTTAACGACCCTCGTGTAGTCCATAGACTTCTACCTTAGGAAGCTATAAAAGTATGGTTGACAACCACCATCTCAGCCCCCACCACATCCCAACCAGTCAATGTAAAAGCAACTACTCGTTTTAACCATGCTTCTCCAACACCCAAACCCTGCCAACCACACCAAGATTTTCCAACTACGCCACCGCAAGTCATTATTTCAACAGCTTCATTAGCACACCTCCGACCACCAGCATCCACACCATAGCACACCTTTGCACCATACCACACCACACATTACATCTACAAACAACACTGTTCCGACAGCTTAATATAACACTAACCACACTACACCAACACCTACATACACTACACCTTCACACACACACACACACACACACACACACACACACACACACACACACACACACACACACACACACACACACACACACACACACACACACACACTACACACACCATATGGTGCAGCATATGGGCGCCTGGCAAACCTGAGAATAGCGTTCCGATGCCTTAGTAAGGAATCGTTCAAGACACTGTACACTGTGTACGTCAGGCCCATACTGGAGTATGCAGCACCAGTCTGGAACCCACACCGGGTTAAGCACGTCAAGAAATTAGAGGAAGTGCAAAGGTTTGCAACAAGGCTAGTTCCGGAGCTAAGGGGAATATCCTACGAAGAGAGGTTAAAGGAAATAGGCCTGACGACACTGGAGGACAGGAGGGTTAGAGGAGACATGATAACGACATACAGAATACTGCGTGGAATAGACAAGGTAGATAGAGACAGGATGTTCCAGAGAGGGGACACAAACAAGGAGTCACAATTGGAAGTTCAAGACTCAGACGAGTCAAAGGGATGTTAAGAAGTATTTCTTCAGCCACAGAGTTGTTAGGAAATGGAATAGTCTGGCAAGCGATGTAGTGGAGGCAGGAATCGTACATAGTTTTAAGATGGGGTATGATAAAGCTCATGGATCAGGGAGAGGGAGGACCCAGTAGCGGTCAGTGAAGAGGCGGGGCCAGGAGCTGAGTATCGACCCCTGCAACCACAATTAGGCGAGTACACACACACACACACCCCCTTCAAACGTCACTGTCTCAACAGCATTATTAACACAGGAAGACACACACACCAGAGACGTGATAAAGATCTGCTTTGTCACTCATTATCAGACACACTTTAATTTTTTAGTCCCGCTGAGTTGAGAGTGGCTATGTGTGTCACTGTCGCACTGTCCCCGTCACTGTCTCACTGTCCACTGGACGATGACTTTCAGTAGTTCCCCATTAATGATTATAATTGTGGGATGAGGTCCGGGGACAGTCTTCACCCTTTTACACAATAACACTTCCTCCTCTTTTCCCTTCATGTTCCTTCCTTCCCCCTCCCCAATCCCTTCCCCCTTCCTCCTTTCCCTTGCTCTGTAGCAGAGTTGGTTAATTGGGTTTAAAGACTATCTACCACATAAAATGTCTTTACGGCTACTTGTAACCTGCTAAAAATACTTTTCTCTCTAAAATAGCAGTTAATTAAGGTAAATTCAGAGTATATACACATGCACCTTTCAATATATATGTATATAGACATATACAACTAAGAATATAAGAGTGAAGGAACACTGCAGAAGGCATACTCGGACCATACAAGACACGTCCTTCTCAAACCAACCATTCCCGATCACTGGGGAACGCTAAACCCGTAGGATTATACAGCGCATGTAGGGGGGGGATGGAAGGTATTCAGGCTAAATTCAGGGAACCGGAGCACAGATCCAGTTCCCTAGATCAAGAGCCCCTCACCAGCATCAGGCACATAGAATAGGAAAAAAAAATTCCTAGGTAGAGCCATGGTTGACAAATAGGCAGCAGAGTGTTTGCATAAATGGGAGAAATCAGAGTGGGGGCACGTCACAGGGGTCAATGTTGGGCCCCTTGTTCACAATTTACATAAACGACAGACGAGGGAATAAAGAGCGACATAAGCAAATTTGCTGATGACACCAAAATAGACCGTCCAATTCATTCTAACGAGGACACTAGAGCACTCCAGGATTATTTGAATAGACTGATGCAGTTGTCGGAGAAGTGGCAGATGCAGTTTAATATAGACAAATGAAAAGTTCTAAATGCTGGACTGGAAAATAACCATGCCACATACAGACTAAATAATATAGATCTTAATGTTACTGATTGCGAAAAGGATTTAGGAATTATGGTTAACAGTAATCTAAAACTAAGACAAGCATGCGTAAGTGTTCGCAATAAGACTCAAATATCTTGTAGGGCAGAAGGGAATTTATAGGCGCATCAAAAGAGGCGAGGGTCATCTTATAAGAATATTCACATTAATAGAGGTAAGAAAGGGGATAAGAAATGCAAAACGGGACTAAGATTAAAGTTGCTAGGGATTCGAAAACTAAACCGAAATGTTCTTTCCAGGTTTAAAGAACAAAAGTTAGAGAAATGATAGGTCCCCTTAAAAATAACTGGGCATCTAACAAGGAGAATGAAATGTGCTCGATTTTTAATAATTAATTACTTTCTCTCAGTTTTCACACAGGACACTAACAATATATTAATAATTTATTTTTATATTAGGCCTGAAAAAGATAAATGATGTAATATTACAGTCACTAGCGATATTCAAATTCAAAGTTTATTCTCTATAAGGATTACAATGCTGAGTTTACAGAAATTTGGTTATTGTGTGGTTTACATGTAGTAAAATTGTGATTACAGAGTGTACCACTAGAACGCTTAGCATGGCTAGGCATCTCTGACCCTAATGAACTTTTTCAAGGAGTGTAAAACGTTCTTGTGCAACATTTGAGAATCTTGACTGAGGCAACGTTTCGCCCGCCAGTGGCTGGCGAATGATTCCCAAATTTTGCACAAGTGTTACTTTCTTCACCTCCAGGTGTATACACCCTAGTGTTCCTGGGGTGGGCCTACACCCCCTCCCCCAGGTAGGTGTTGGCACTGGCAGAGTTGCTAATGAATCTTATTGACTAGCGGTAAGCGCTTCATAGGCAAGAGTAAATATTTTATTCAGTACAAGTGGAAACACCCCATAGTGTGCTGCTACACTAATATATGATAGCTATATTGTGGGAACACCTGTCGTGTGCTACCATTGTATTTGATACTTAGCTAAAGATTTGTCAGGAATCTTTTGGTCATTTGGCCGAGGCCTTCCACTGGCTTACCCCTCCACCCCTTTAAAAATTAAGGTTATATTTATAACTATTATTATACCCATCTGATACTTGCATAGTTGCAAGTCCCATTTTTGTAAACACACTTCACCTGAGGGTATTGTAGTCTGCCCTGAAGACTTCACTACCCTCAGGGTGTGATGAATAGTTTGAAAAACAGACAAGTTGACGATTGAGACACTTATGCATATGGGAATCTTTATTCAGGAATAAAGATTCCCATATGTTGCATAAGTGTCTCAATCGTCTACCCTCAGGTTATTTAATGACCAGGGGGTGATGGAGAGGTGCGCTAAATCTGGTCGACTCTAAGAAAATAAAGTTTTTCTCTGTTCAGAGCAAAAAATTCTCTGAATAAAGGCTTAATTTTATGTACATGTGTATTCCTACACACACACACACACACACACACACACACACACACACACACACGGAGGGCAAATCCTGTGTCACAAACCTTCTGGAGTTTTATGATAAAATAACAGAAGTAAGACACGAGAGAGAGGGGTGGGTTGATTGCATCTTCTTGGACTGCAAGAAGGCCTTTGACACAGTTCCTCACAAGAGATTAGTGCAGAAGCTAGAGCATCAGGCGCATATAACAGGAAGGGCACTGCAATGGATCAGAGAATACCTGACAGGGAGGCAACAACGAGTCATGGTACGTAATGATGTATCACAGTGGGCACCTGTGACGAGCGGGGTCCCACAGGGGTCGGTCCTAGGACCAGTGCTATTTTTGGTATATGTGAACGACATGATGGAAGGGTTAGACTCAGAAGTGTCCCTGTTTGCAGATGATGTGAAGTTAATGAGGAGAATTAAATCTGATGAGGACCAGGCAGGACTTCAAAGA